ATATACTACAAGATGTTAATATGAATGTATATACTACAAGATGTTAATATGAATGTATATACTACAAGATGTTAATATGAATGTATATACTACAAGACGTTAATATGAATGTATATACTACAAGATGTTAATATGAATGGATATACTACAAGACGTTAATATGAATGGATATACTACAAGACTATTACCCTCTTACCTTTCTTCACCTCAGCAAGGACCCCATCCACAACGGCACTGGCAGCTGCTGCTACTCTCTTGGCCTCTCTGCTTTCCTGGTTGGCTTTGTCCTTTTGTTTCTTCTTGCTGGTACTGGGTGTCAAGTCTGAGCCATTTTCTCTGCCACTGCCTCCTCTTTGCTGAGCCCCACTGTGACGGCCCACCGTCTCACTACCAGCCACATCACTGCCTCCACTGCTGGCCATCTTCAGGCACTTGGCACTGACAGGCTGCCCGTCGCTGGAATCGCTGCCGCCGCTGGGGTCTGGATCTGAGGTGTGTCTCTTTCTGCCTGGCCCAGCTATCTTGGCGATGATACTGGTCTGAACTCTCCCAGAACAGAATCAGGATGGTTAACCAGGGATTGGGACCTACAGCAAAAGAAAGTTATAAAAAAAATAACAAATAAATAAAACATATGATACACAGTAAATGTAACTGACAGCAGTGTGTTATATAAAGCTGCAAAGTTAAAACAACATAATTGTAGCAACCTGACAACGAATAGACATAAATATGTTTTGAAATATATCTTGAATACACAATTTCGTTTCACCTCATGTACCACATGTGATGCGAATGACAAAGTCTTCTTGAACCTTGGAGGATAAGTAAATTTAAATATGCGTATAAGATAGATCTTTGTTTTGAAATATATTATAAAATATGTATATATTAAATATTTATATTAAATTAAAATAAATGTGTGGGAAATAACAGGGTTAAACAGAGGGTGTTTTAAGCCAATTAGACGCAGGTTTCAAATGACAACAAAGCTAACATGGACATTACAAAAGAAATTAGCCTAGCTTTGTTTCCTTAGCATAGCAACAGCAGACTGCTAGCTCCGTGCGGCAAAATGACAAACTGGTCACATCTAAATTAAGCTATTTTACTTAATGTTCAGTACATATTAACGTAATTAACCAATGTTCATTAAGCTAACGTCGATATAAAGGGTTCTTGTAGCGGTTAGCCGCAAGGAGAGGTTCGCTTGTTTTATGGCGCAGTTGGTGTTTATACTGTCACGTGCCCGTAAATACTATTTAAGAAACATGAAACTACGGACTGAATGTAGCTTTTTAGCGGCGCACACACGGAAACGTTTACGTTTATATCAACAATTGAAGCTTTCCCGACCCGAGGGTTTCGATTCTTGCCGCACGCATGTCAGAAAGCAGCTTACAGCCAACAGTTTAACTTGATCTGCGGGGTCGCAAAGCGCAGAACAGGTCATCGAATCGAGCGCTCCAACAGCCGTCGATCGGCTAATGTCATTAGCAACATGCTAACAGCAGCTAAAATGGAATGGCTGATTTAATACAAGCGCGTGACATTTTACAACGCGTAACCACTGCTTATTGTCCAAACACCATATTTATTCTGGTATTAGAACGTGAGACCTACGTGGCTTTAATGCGACGATAATTCCGTCGGAACACACAATAGCGAGCGACTTCTCGTGCCTCTTCCACGGCTGCTGCTACGCTCCTTTACGGCCTCGGCTCGGGCCGCGGCGCGCCTTCCCTCTGCTCGAAACTCCCGTAGTTCACGGCGTTTCTGGAACTTTCCACATTCAGCCGGGACCCATTCCCGTCCATCTAAAGTAATACATCCACAACTGATGCAGAATGCATCAAAACGAAAGCTGGTTTTAGTATTTTGTTGTCATACGGCCTCTGCAGGGCGAGTCTACTTTGTTGGAAACAATATCCAACTGCCCGGCCAGACCTGAACTGAAACGGCTCAGAGCTACTTCCGGTAGGAGGCGTCACGTGACAGAGAACTTCTTTCTTTCTTTCTTTCTTTAATAAAAGTCCAATATCCGAGTCATGCAGAACTTTTATTCCCATCTTATTTTTGCATGATTTCAACAACTTTTAATTACATTCATCACATACAGTTTACTGGCTTTCTGAAATACCTTCATCAGTCATGTATTCTAAAAAATATGATTTTTTTTGTATGTAATGATGTCCTGGCCTGTTTGTTATATAGTTATAAACTGCACGCCATTGTTTTTCCATTACTAAATCTATAGGGCCACAGACCAGTTCCCATTCGTTTTATTCAAGATTTAATGAAAAAGTCATCCCTTCAAACTTGCTTGTTTTTATACTAGCACACTAGAACTGTATTTTATTGTTGCAAAAAGGTGTACTGGTGAGTGCAGATAGAGTACTTTTTTATCTAGTGTTGCTTTTCCCACTAATGTTCACAGCAACCCAACAATAAAATTGAGCAAAAAATATCTAGTTCTAAACACATTTTTAAACAGGGATGTAATAATTAATTCTGCACAGTCTCAGTGATTGTAAGTTCATGGCTCATCTATTTTTTTCGCCTCCAACTTTTAAGAGTGCATCTTTTAATTGCAGCTTTCTGTAGAATTTGATTTAAATTTCATTTTTTATTCATTGTTATTCTCTTGGCTTTATGTGCCCTGAATCCTTCAACTCTACACAACTGTTGACAATTTAATACGGATGCTTTACAATGTTGATCAAAAACCCAAGAAGAATTTCTTTCAGCTAAAACTACATATTTTGGGCTGTTAAACTGCCAGCATGCCTTCAGAGCTTCTGCTGCTGCTCTCTCATCATTACTCACACAATGATTTAGTTAATAAGCAGTTGTTCAACCAAACCACTGGCAGACTCGGTCAAAACGTGTTCAGATGCTCAACACAAATGCATCCTTGCACACCTGAGGGAAACGTTTGCCCATCATGAAACCACGATCGAGTTTTTCTAATGAACTCAGTTTACTTAAACACAGAAACACAACTTATTACGTTTTATCTTTATTTGCAAAACCATACAACGTAAAAATTCAACAGGTTTGTTTTGGTATTTTTACTTCATCTTGCATGTTTCACTGTTACAATGTTTAAAAATTATTTGAGTTTATTGTATTTTTTTTTTTTTATTCAAATGATCCAGCACAGTGTAAATACAGTATATCCAGAATACTGACAGTTTAAGGCACAAATAAAACAGATAAATACTTTTACATGAACAAGGCATGAATTACTGAAGAAAAATCAATTTATGTCACAGAATATGAGAAACAATAATCACAATCTGCGCATGAGCAGTTTGGTATTTATAAACTTTATTTTTACAAGCTACAATTTAGTTTCCTGTTTCTGATTAATGCTAAGATAAATGTCTTTACTTAAAAAGAGCGCAGCCTCCACACAGCCAGTCCAGTCGTTTGTCTCCTCAGCAGGTAAGACGCTTCTGACGTCGTCTCTGGCTCAGGAGTGGCCCGACTTGAGGAATGAGACATTTGTAGCTCATGTCTAGGAGTTAATCAGCTGATTAGGGTGCGACACCAGGAGTTTCAATATTGAACCTCTTCATAATATTCAAACTTTTCGAGACACTGTATTTCACTTTTTTTGAAATCTGTTAGTCATAATCATCAAAATTACAAGAAATAAAGGTTTGAAATGTCCTGATGCATGCTCAATAATCCAGGTAGAAGAAGATGACTTACACTTTCTGAAATGATTGACAAAGAATTGAACTTTTTCCACAATATTCCAAATTTTCAGATGCACCTGTACATCAGTAGTGTCCAGTCTTGGACCTCACGGGCCACTGTCCATAATGATCAGAGGTTTCTCTGCTCCAACCAACCTGATTTGAACGAATGAGTGATTGACAGGCTTCTACAGAACCCAGCGGCCATTCAGTCAAAGCTTCAGGTGTGCTGGAGCAGAGTAACAACTACAACTTGCAGGACAGTGCCCCCCCCCCCCCCGAGGACCACTGGATTGAAAAGGACACTATCAGATCACTACAATTTGTACATCGTTTCAAATTAGTCCAACTGAGCAGGCTAAAATGTTCACTTTCGTTCACATATTTCAATGATTGCAATTTGTTTTTGACGTTATAGAAAACAATAAACCAAGCAGCCGAGGGATGTTTATGTGTTAAAAATTCAAAACTATCATTTGCAAAAGCTGTGATCATTATTCATTACCATTTATTTTTTGTATTTTGAACTATTTGCAATAGAATTCTATAAGCACAATAAAAGTTGTGATGTCTTCTGCTGCATGCTCAGCAAAGAATATGCCTCCACAGCCATAACACACTTATCACAAGGTCAGCAACCTGCTGAGTGTTCATTCATAAAAATAATAGTCTTAACTCCAAATAAGGCAGCACCTGGGTCCTTGCTCTGCAAGCACATACAATATAACCATTGTGACAAGGAAAGTACAAATATAATCTATTTTTAAAAATCTACCTAAAGATTATTTGGCATTGTTTGCTTCCATACATACACATCATTGCTGTTATTCTGTATCATTTTCTATTGAAAGCTTAAACTCATACATTCAATGTTGTGTTTCAAATTAAAAGCAATAACAATGTGCACAAACTAAATGTACAGTAAAATATGTGCTCAAAGACAAACCTTACCTGTTCGGTTGTGCTTATATTTTATACAACACAATGTTTTTAGCAAACATAATGACCTGAATGCAGCATGTGCGTACTGGTTTACACCATGACTCACGTTCTCATTTCTGTTTATTTTTAAGGAAAAGTCAGAAAAACTCAGAAAAGACCGTTTGTCTTCCAGACTTGTTGAGTTATTGGCATGTGTTGTAGATTTGGATCTGTTTGTTGATGTCTTTGAGGATGTCCCTCATCTTGTCCTCCAAGCCGTCCAGTTGTCGGGCTTTCCCCTCCAGCCTCCTCTGGTTCTCCTCGTAATTTTTCTCCAGCTCTGAAGGAAACAGGATTTTAAGAAACCGTTAAATAGGCTCGGATGGGCAGCTAGTGATGCAGGCGTCTTTAAAACTGACCAAAGAAAAGTAATTAATAATCCTTAACTTCACTATTTTGATTATTCCTCTACAGAGGCTTCTATATTTCTGTGGGAGTTCCAGTCACTTCCCTCCTGAGGTCATTAGATGGCGCCAGACGACCACACCGGAGACCAGTCCCCTTGATGAGACTTCCAGTATAAAAGGCAGGTGATTACTTCTCTTCGACGCTGGAGCATTACCTTTCCTATGGTTTGTGCTTCTAGCCCTTTAATATTCTAAGGACTTGAGCTTATTTAAGGATTCAATGATTTTTTTATTGTCAGCTCACATTTGCATGTTTGTGGTATGAAATTCGGACTCGGGACCCAGATCAAGAAGTCGAACAATTAACAAATAAATAAATGCAAAAGAGTACAAATATATATATAATAAATAAAGTTTAAAAAAAATGTAAGATGAAGCTGAATTAAGTGCAGCTCGAGTTCATTAGTCTGACAGCTGCAGGGAAGAAACCGTTTCTGAGCCTGGTGGTTCTTGCTCTGAATGCTCCTCAGCCGCTTGCTTGAGTGGAGGGGCTGGAACAGACTGTGTGCAGGATGAGTGGAGTCCTTCATGATGCAGAGTACCCTCCCCCTGCATCGTGACGTGTAGCGCTCCGAGGTGGTGGGAAGGCTGCTCCTCACAGTCTTCTGTGCAGCCTTAACCAGCCTCTGCAGAGCCGTCCTCTCAGCAGCAGTGCAGCTGGCGTGAACGCTCTCCCCCACACAGCGATAGAAGCTCTTCAGGACAGAGCTCCCAAGTCCAGCTCTCTGCAGCTTCCTGAGGAAGTAGAGACGCTGGTGGGCTTTCCTGACCAGAGAGGAAGTGTTGGCTGTCCAGGTGAGGACACTGGACATATGCACCCCCAGGTACCTGTAGCAGGAGACCTCCTCCACAGCTGCTCCTCCGATGTGTAGGGGATGGAGAGGATTTTCGTCCCTTCTGAAATCTGATTCTGAAATTTTACCGGCGTCTTTGCTGTTTCCAGTGAGCCTCCTGAGATCTACCTGTTCTCGGACTCCCTAGAAACCTCCTCGTGATCCTCCCAGCTGTCTTCCTTGCCCTCCAACCACTCACCCAACAGTGACTACTTGCCACGTTGGATTACCATTGCTCTCACAAGATTATTGGAAGCAGTGACTCTCCTAACACCTTTCACTAACCAGTAAGAACCAGAGGACAATATAATCAATATAAATTCCTGCTGAAGTTCAGTGCTGACCCTTCTTGCTCCCCAGGGGTCCTGATAACTTCCTGTGGTTTATTCACTGCAAATAAAAGCACAGAACTTGCCTTCCTGTGTCATGTTCATAGTCAGTCCTTTCGCTCTGGGTATTTAGTCCTTATGACAATTTCCGCACTGAGAGCAGTGGCGTGCACACGAGTTCATGCCAAGTTCATGTGCGCGCCACTGCTCCAGCTCAAAATACGCCGTAAAGGAAGTTCTTTTTCTTTGGTGTTTTACGGCAGATTGCATCCCCTCTGTTGCATCACCGCCTCCTTGAGACTAAACCCCGCGCCTACATTTCCGTAAAGGAAGTTCCACTGACGAGAAACATAAATCTGTCAATCTGCGTTCGATTACTCCGTGGCTTTCTCGAGGACCCGGATGTGTGACACAAAAATCTGAATTTTGGAATTGAAATTGAATTATAGAACTGAAAATGAAAGTAGTCGAACTGAATTTTCAATACAACGAAAATACGGTTTCAAAGCAAATTAATTCAGTTTCAAACCAATAAATTCAGTCTCAGTTTAGTGAAATTCATTTTTTCAAACCAGTGGATTTAATTTCAAATGAAGTAACTACAGATTCAGTCTGAGCAATTCAAATTCATGTTCTGATGGCACAAGCTTCTCCCCATAAATTTCGTCTTTTAAATTGCAGCCAATTTCTGCTATTCAATTTTTTTGTATTATGTAATTTCTATTTTAATTACTGAACACCTAGAAAATTAGCATTTCTGTTTAAACGTTGTGTGAACGCTGAAAGATGAATAACTTTGCTGAAATTTGCTAAAAAAAAAGAAAGAAAAGATGACGCTTTGTTTTAAAGCTAAAAGGAGCAGAACATTATCTAAACTTTTTTTTTTTTTATGAAGTAGGAAAAGGCTAGCTAGAAATAGCAAATGCTAGCTAAAAGCTAAATGTAGAACAGTGGTTAAAAAGTAAAAGTAGAGTTAGAGGACAGAGTATTTCACTGAAGAAGATAATAAAATAATTTGAAGGATATGAAAATAAGTATTTATGGGGAAAATATTTGTAATTAAAATTAAATATTTTGAATAATAGAACAATTCCACTAAAAGTCAAAGCATCCGTCTCCTGAATGAGCTGAACCTTTTCAAAGAAGTGGTTAAAATAGGACAAAGTATGCAGAAGTAGGGAGATTGCAAATAATGTATAAAAAAAAAGAATAAATAAAATAAAATCAATAAGAAAACAACTGTTTGAATGCTAAACCAGCATTCAGACAATCCAAGCTGATTGCTACGTTTTGATTTTTCAGTAAAAAGCCAGTCTTCTTCCGCAGCACACGTCAATTCAAACACTGTATCTCTGTTGTCACAGTACCTGCTAGTCTCTTTAGCTTGTTTTGGGCATCTGTGAGCAGCTCCTTCGCTTCTTCTCTTAGCCTCTCTGCCTTTTTCTTGGCATCCTCCACAGTCTTGGCTTTGCCGTCAACTCGCTGCTGCACCTCGTTGTATTTATCTCTCAGCTGTCCGTCTAGAATCTGAGTGTAAAGACGGAGAAGTTTCTATCTTGAATTATTGCGTCTACAATTAACGATGCTAAGCATGAGCGCACGGTCACGAACCTGTTTGGCTTCATTGGCCTTGTCTCGCGCCATGGTGGCCGTCTCTTCGGCTCGAGCCGTAGCCAAGCTGTTGTTGGCGTGTTTGGTCTTCAAGGCGTTGATTTCCTGTTTTAAAGTGCCCAGGCGGACCATGGCGTCCTGCAGGTCCTTCTCGCCACTGGATGTTTCTGACTCAATCTGCATACAGTGTTCAATTCAATTCAGTTGTTTTATGTTGTACCAACAAAACAAATAAATGTATAAATAAATAAAAACATAAAATTGGTATTAATGGGATTTTATGGCCACTTGTTGAAAACAGAAATAATCTATCAACAGTCTCCCACTAAATGCAACACATTCAGCATTAACAGAGCCACACACACCCCACACACAGTTTTAAATAAATAAATAAATAAATAAAATCTTAAATATCAGCATGGATAGAGGTTTTAAAAAATAAAAAATTCACTTGTCTTAGATATCCTGATGCATGCTCAAAAACCCACGTAGAAAAATTTAACAAAGTAAAGTCAGGTCCTCTGGACGGATTCTTCTTGTTGAAATGTTTCGTCTTTAATCCAAAATATTTCTTCAGTCTGAGGAGCTGCAGCAAACTCAGTCTTATAAATAGCGTCTTCTCGTAGAGCAGGGGTGTCAAACTCACTCACAAAAGAGGGCCAAAATTAAAACCTTTTTTTTTTTTAAACTAAGGGCCAGTTTCAGAATCTACATTAACTCAAATCAAATACACAACATCTTTTGTTGGTCACAACAGGTTCTTCAACAGTTTGATTGGTCTCATTTGATGTTCTCTGTTGTGCTTTCAACATGATAATCAAAGATTACTGAAAAAAAAAAATCAAAAGATAGTGGTATTTTACGTTTCACATGTCATCTTGTGGGCCAAATAAGATGTCAACGAGGACCACATTTGGCCCCCGGGCCTTGAGCTTGACACATATGTCTCAGTGAATCAACCAGTTTGTTGGTGACATCCAGAACCAGCTGTTCACATGATAGAGGACCATCAGCCTAACAACTAATCGTTAGTGCCCTGATGACCGCTTGCTATTCACAGCGGGCTGAGTGATACTAGCAATAACAGCATTGTAAAAGGGGCACAGAGGCCTCGGCCCGTTTAACGATGGACGGTTTTTAGGAGCAAAGGCCTCCGTGTGCAACGGTCACCCTCTTACAATGCTGTTAGTTTCACTCATCCCTCTGTGCTATTTATACGACTGAGTTTAGTGCAGCTCCTCAGACTGAAGAAGTCTTTTGGATAAAAGACGAAACGTCTCAACAAGAAGAATCCGTCCAGAGGACCTGACTTAACTTGCTACACTTGTTTCGAAGTTGTTTCAAAACAAACAAACAAAAAAGAACTTGAGCGTTAAGTGTTGCAACCTGTGTCAGTCTATTCTCAGTTTCCCCAATGTCAGATTTGGCTTTTGCTATAGCCTTCTCTGCCGAAGTCTGGGCAGTCCTGGCGTCTTCCAGTGCGTGCTTCACCGTCTCTGCTGTCGTCTTCACCCCCTCAGCACGATGCCTTGAAAACGACAAAACGTTACCGACGCCGAGTGCAGTAAATAATACCACTGTTTTAAATCTAACCAGGTTTTGATCACCTCGCCCTCTTGGCGTCCAGCAGAAGTTTCTCAGCCTGGCGGACGTCCTCCTGAGTCTTCTGCAGGATGGCATCTACATTGGAAAGGCTGTGGACCCGATCTTTGATTTCGTCAGCGAGATGTTTGATTTGGAGGGGTGAAGCAGGGATGGAGAGCTGCAGCACTTGGTTTGCCACCGCCTCGATACTGTCGGGGTCCGCTCCTTCCTCTGTCAATAACCAGGAAGTGTCAGGGTTGGCGCAAGAGGCAAACATTACAAATCTCTTTTTCATGAACTCACGAGTGAGGAACTCCCTAATCTGTTTGATGAGGTCTCTGAGGTTATTGTTGGAGTGTTCCACTTTGTTCTTCGTGGCTGTGGCTTTATCCAGAGCAGCCTGAGCTTTACCCTTAGCTTCCTCTGCCTGAGCCTTAGCTTCTGCCACCTGCAAGAAACAAAAGCTTTAAAAAAGAAGCTTTAAAAGTGACAGACTGATGCTTAAATCTTTAGAAGGTTTGAGGCATTTAGGATATTTAAAAAAAAGTTGTATTTCACGTGCACTTTATAAGTTAAATCCATGTTTTGTTCAAACAATATATTGTCACTAAGAGGGGGCACAGCATTAGAAAAAAAGCAAATTATTTTTTCAAATTACTGTCAAACATTTTACATATGTTTAGAGTTCTGTTACTAGTTTCATTTTAATAATTCACAGTATAAACTCAATAAAACTAGGAGGAATAAAAAAGAAAAAATATATATTTTTCCATCTTAACTCAGCAGCTCATTTTAAAGATTTCAAAACAAATGGATATTAACCATTGCGTTACATCATCTCTTCACTTGGTTCAGGTCTAAAGAGAGAAAAAAGCTATTTTGAAATGTTTTCCTGTCCTTGCATATTTTTTGTTTTTCATTTATAAATGTTTTAGTATTTTATTTATTTTTGTACTTGATCCAATATTTATTGTCACCATCTTTATTGGGCTAAAAGTGCTACAATACAGAAATGACTCAAATTAAAACAGTAACTGTTGTGAAGTAAATATTAATGCAACACTTTAAAAATGAAAACATTTTAAAGAGGATGAAAGCAATTTTTTTCATTTGCACTAAAATGTACAAACTAAGTATGAAACTACCGTATTTTCCGCCATACACGTCGCACCGCCGTATAAGTTGCATCAGTCCAAATATGTCTAATGTAGTAGAAAGAAACATAAATATGTCGCTTAACTGTATACGTCGCATCTATTATGCGTCACCGCTGACAATCCGGAAATGTGGGCCGGTGTTGTGACAAAAATTAATTGGCTGCCAAATGGCGGCTGTGGGAGCGTGCACGGGAGGACTTTAACAAGAGACTAACGCTAAAACAATTATTTGTTTGCTCAAAATTATAGTAAAGGTGTGTCTCAGTTGAACTTTTCCTTAATAAATGCATTTTAATGGTCAAATCAGCAGCATTTCGCCTGGGCGGCACAGGGAAATGCAGCTGATTTGACGTCTGCTCCAGGAGTTCCAGAGCGAGACGAAGGTGGCTTAGTATGGCAAGCCAAGTGTCTCATTAATAGTCACTTTTGCCTATTAATGAGACACTTGGCTTGCCATATTGGTCGAGGGCCCCCTAGTGGCTGAAAATTATAGTGTTCAATATTTTCCATGTCAGAATGAATGAAACTGTCAGATCTCAGCCAAAAATTGGATTATAAATATAGAAAAAAAACAAAAACATAAATACGTCGCAGGCATGCCAATTTATGCAAAAAGATGCAACTTATACGCTGGAAAATACGATAATCAAAATGTTTATTTAATGAGTAAAATAACTGAAGCAGGAGAGCTTGTTAGTTGTTGCGCTTCTGAACTCAGTGTCCTCCTAACTGGTCGGTTTTAGAAAATAAGATGTGTGATGGATCATTAAGGATTATATGTTAATCTGAGGACACGGGTTTAAACAAATGGTCTAAAGAGAAGATAATAATAATAATAATAATAATAATGTCATCACAATGTCAGCACTGTATGTTTCCATACAATGGCAAAATTAGTCTCTGCATTTAACCCATCCACCACCAGGTGGTGCAGTGGGCAGCTATTGAAAGCGCCCGGGGGACATTTTGGGGATTAGACGTGCTGCCCAGAGACGCCACGTGATGTGCAGTGACTGGGGATCGAACCTGGGACTCTCGGGTCCCAAGCCGGCTGCCCTGCCTCTACACCATCTCGGCCCCAAGATCAGGCCATTTTGATAGATAGTCTCTCTATATGATTTTATTTTGCTTCAGCTTCAAAGTCCTGAAGGAAAACCTTGACTATTTCTGATTTAGAGTCCTCTGGATGTAAGGTTCTGTCTGCAAACCTGGACTCTTAATGATGAGAAAGTGACGTTCCACGTGGTGAAATTATCTTACAGAAAAAAGCATCACACCTTATGAAAGAGTCCCTGCATCTCTCCCACTGCCTTGTTCAGCTCTTTCTCTGCATGTTTGGCTCTTTCCAGAGCGTTGTCAGCTGCTGATACGGCGCCGTTACAGTTCAGGCCTCCACAGTGACGGTTCCCCTCATCGTCACGGCAACCTGCTCCTCCACATGGGCTCTCCCCACAGGGAGCGTCACCCGGAGCGCCGCAGACCTGTTGGCACAATCACACGAGTTTTCAGGAATAAGATGAGCAGAATTCATGCTGAGCTGATGTGTCCGCTCTGGAAAAGAAAAACAATCAAACACGGATTGTGATGTATGAAATTATTAATCAATTAAATTAATCGTACACTGTGAATTGTTAGAAATGTCACAGAAACCAGAAACTTAAAAGCTAATGAAAACGTTCTGGATGCTTCTGTCAGGTTAGCTACAACTGTCCAAAACTAAGCAATAATTGTTTTTCTCTACAGTTACTTTCCTACATGTAAATGAGATTTAAATTCAGTCAAGTTGGAAAATATCAAGACAACATTTTGTAGCTAATTAGCTGCCTTTCAGCCTTCAAGTTATTCTAGGTGATAAAAATAAAATCTGTGTTGAGACTAAATGAAATGTACAATTATTCACTTTTGTCTTGTACCTTTTAGAAGACAAGATTTCAAATGAGATTAATTTAGTTTATTCATTAACCACTAGAAAGTTCCTGGAGAAACTTTGACAGGGACTGCCTATTTATTATCAAAGTAGTATTAATAATTAATATTAATAATTAATCATATTAATTATTAATATTAATATATAGTTGATTTATTAATTATTATAAACTATTAATATATTTGATAATAATATTAATAATTAATATTAAACATCAATTATTAATATTAGTAATTGTTAATGTTATTATTTGTAATTATTAAAATGAATCATTAATAATTTATGTTAATTTTAATTTTTACTCATTATTAATAATAATAATAATAATAATAGGTGATAATAGGTGCCTTCAATGCATGTTGAACCAAAATGGCTCCCGACGTTACTCAGTTTCTTTGAAAAGCTTTCTTCTATTCATTTCCTATGGGAAATTTGTCATTTTCATTAACAAAATTTGTCGCCATGGTAACGCCAATTGCCAATAAAAGTAACAGCACACATCTCAGAGCCGGGACGGTCGTTTGGATATAACTTTTGTGGGGGTCCACTTTACTGTTTGGGCCACATTAAAGTTGAAAAAGATGTGCTTTTCAGGTGTAGAATAATAAGTGGGCAGTCACCAACTAGTTCCTGGAGTTGTTGAAATATTGTGTCTTTGTTCGCAAATTACTTCACCATGGTAACTTGAAATGCCAATAAAAGTAACAGCACACATCACAGGGCCGAGACGGTCGTTTGATATAACTTTTGTGGGGGTAGACATTGTGGTTTGGGCCGCATTAAAGGAGATAGAAATGTAGACACTCTTCCAAGGTGTAGAATAATAGGTGCCTTGTCCCCAAAAAACATTGTTTTAAAATTTATTTTACAATTTACGGAGAGATGAAAAAGGTACCGTAATTTCCGGACTATTGAGCGCACCAGACTATGAGCCACGCCCACAAAAACATTGTACATATATATGCCGTGCTCATCTATAAACCACAGGTGTCTACGTTTGTAACATCAGATATTTACACAGAAATATTTAGACTTTTAATTAAATACGTAACATACACAAATACCTACAGTAAATGTTTTTTTTAACAGTGCCTGTAAAACGGCTGGTTAAAAAAAAACAGTGGCTTATCAGGAAGTCATTGTTCGCCCATTGGATTGGACCCACCCCCCAAGAGAGACGTATATTGTGCAGCTATATGAGCACCCGGGTGTGACGAGGCTAAATGTTTTGGCGGCATTAAGCTCATTAGACTGTAAATATATAAAAAAATCCATAAATTTGCCACAGCGTTGTATAAGCCACAGTGTTCAACGCGTGTGGAAAAAAGTAGTGGCTTATAGTCCGGAAATTACGGTACTTTCTTTTTATTGTAAGGCGTAAAAAGTTCAACCTTAGCCTAATGTCGTTTGTCTTTGGTTGTGTAGTAACACAACTGAACTTCTACAAAGATTAAAGTGTCAACTCCAACCTTCTCATTGAGCTTCTTCATATCCAGTCCTCGTGCCTTCATGCTCAGGTCTCCCAGTGCACGCTTGTTTGCTGCATTTTTACGATTAAAGTCATCTTTCTTTGCAGTGATGAGGCGCTCAGTTCGATGGCGGGTGTCTGCAGACTGGCTGACTGTGCTGGGCCTGGTGGTCGTGGACTCATTAGCCCGTCGCCCCGCATCACGAGACTGGTTGTAGGAGCTTCGGATGCTGTCATACGCACCTGAAGAGAAAGGAAGAACATCCAAATTGTTTTAAATCAAAGTGGAGCTGAGGTACCTTTAGAGATCAGTCAGGAATTTAGGTTTGGAGAAGAATAAGAACAGGTAGCAAGAAAACAATTCTCACGTTTCTTTGTCTTGTTGTCTCACCTAAGAAATTGGAGTTTTTGAGCACATTAAGTTGATGGTGTAGCTGCTCTGAGGTGAAGTTCAGTTCTTTAGCTTCCCTCTCCAGAGCACTCAGCTCTTTGCTTGCCATGGAGTTCCTGTCCTGGACAATCGTCAAGTCTCCTTCCACACGGTTTAAGGTCTCAGTCGTCTCACCAATCTGTGCCCTTTGGGATAAGACAAGAAGTTGCTGGTTGATGTAAATATCACCTTCACAGGGCAGATTTACTACTGAATGGAGATTCTTCAACCAGCTGTACCTAAGATCTTCAATAAGCTCCATTAAGGTGCCAATGGCTGCAGCAGTGGCGTTGCGTGCATTCACGATGCTCTGCGCTTGTGCCAGTTTCTCCTCCAAGTCTTTGAAGATTTTCTCGTAAGGCCCCGTTAGCCCAGTGGTCTGAATCTCATGGGCACGCTCTGCAAGCGCCTTGGTGCGCACTGCCAAGTCCTGGTTATAAGAGAAACATTGGTCAGGAAAAAACTGTGGCTAACTCATACCTATTCTGTTTTTGCATTTGATGAATGAGGATAAACTTAATATTTTTCATCTAAGCTGCACCTGCACAATTCGATCCCAGTCCCCAAAGCACTGATGACAGGGCTGACAGTTGGGGAACACGCCCGCAAAGCCTCTGGCACACTGGTCACAGCGGACGCCTGACACCCCCTGCTGGCAGACGCAGTGACCAGTCACCCGGTTGCACTGAGAGGTCTCGATCCCCCGCCAGTCGCAGTCGCAAGCTAGAGAGGAAAACCAGTAGAGAACAGAATTTACTCCTTATGCTTCTGACATTTGTGTGCTCAGATGGGAGAGCTAGGCCTGTCACGATAACACATTTTGCTGGGCGATTAATTGTCTCAGAAATTATTGCGATAAATGATAATATTGTTTGAAATTTGACAATAATTAGTAATTACTGTCAGATTTAAGAAGAAATTATGGTTAATTTGTTTCGAGTGTACTAAACTGAGACGTGTTTGAGATGAGCTCGAGACTCCTGTTACAACTCTGCCACTATTTTGAGAAGAGATTTGTCACACAAATGTTTTGAAGATTTGAACAACAAACTGTGAGCTGCAATTCACGCAAGGAAATGGAGAACCTCTGTAAACGATTTGAGACAATTTGGAGAATAAATGTTCCCCAACTAATGGCCAGCAGTCACAGCCCCTGAAATCCCAGCTTAAGTGCTTGAATAGCAGCACAACGGCTCAGTGGTTAGCATCGTTGCCTCACAACTAGGCCTGTCACGATAACAAATTTTGCTGGGCGATTAATTGTCTCAGAAATTATTGCGATAAACGATAATATTGTTTGAAATTTGACAATAATTTGTAATTATTGTCAAATTTAAAAATAAATGTTTGTTAATTTGTTTTGTGTGTAGTACCTTTTTTCGACCACCTGATGGCAGTATAAGACTGTTTGAACTGAAGGATGGATAGTGAGGGAGCGAGCAGCGTGTCTCTTTAAGAAAAATGGGAGGGAGGCCCCTTGATGTGACATGGGCTGTCTCTCCTTCCTTTTTTTGGTTCTCAAAATGGCGGACGCTCAGTGTGGTTTGAGCTCTTTAGCATAGCATTTGTCACACAAAGCTTTAAAAAAAAAAATCAGTAAACAAGTTCTCAGCTTCTTTTTGCAGAGAAAAACAACTTTTTACATGAAGGCACGAGTTTCAACCGTGAATTTTGGAGCTTCGACAAAACAGGTTTTTTCCCGAGGTCGGCTTGTTAGCTTAGCTTGCAGCTTAGCTTCTCAGCTTAGCTGCTTTTAACAATCCAAAAATGTGATTTTGGACGATTAAAATGGATTTTGAAGAGAAAATAGAAAGAGAGGGGTCAGTGAAGAACACCGGAGTTGAGCTTTTTGTCATCCAGTGTCTTCAGTAGAGACACAAAGAAACGATAAAGCTGATAAATGAGAATGAGGTCGATAATTTTCATTTATCATGCGATTAATTGATTTATTGTTATGTGGCTGGCTGGTCAGCTAAACAAAACATTTTGATACCTGAACAAAATTGTTGAATATCAGTCATCTACTTAATATTTGTTTTAATTCAACTCGTCACTCTTCCCTTGTAACAACTCATGAAGTAAAGCTTTAAGTTTTATCAAGGGAGAAATAAAAACTGAGAAACAATCAAGTGTTCAAACTATATAGTGAAATGGCATAGTGGAGCAGTGACTTGTGTACTTTGTGATATTTTAATCATTCGTGTATAAAAACATTCAGCTTGGTTGAGAGCTGCCAATCCTTTCAAAACATTTATCTTTATTTAAATAAAAATTTCTACATAGAAGCACATCTTTTAAATTCCTTATTTTTTTTAAATCTGCTTCAGCAAACTTGCTATATTTTTCTGTTCTTGTGCTAATTCTAAGCTTTTAGCTACTGTTTTGCCACTTTTAGCTTTTAGGTACCGTTCTGTTACCTTTAGCTATTTTTTTAACCGTTTTTCTACTTTTAGATTTTAGCTACTGTTTTGCTAATTTTAGCTTTCCACTGCTCTGCTCATTTTGGGTGGCTTGGGCAGGTAGCTTGGCGGCCAGTACCACAGTCTCGCAAACCTGAGGCTGCAGGTTTCAAGCCCAGTTTGCGTCAGGAAGGGTGTCCGGCGATAAACGATCGTTGAATCTTTCGTGCGAGTTCACTCACCGTGGTGACCCCAGCAGAAGGGAGTAACCGTACAACAACTGGTCTGCTAATTTTAGCTTGTGTTGTATTTGTTTTAGCTCGTCTTCTCTCAGTTTTAACTTTAACAAATCTCAGCAAAACTCAGCAATCACAGAAAATGCACTATTTGGTATTTCTAAAATGAGTTTAGAAGTAGTTGCTGATACAGTTTTATTTTATTATTATTAATAATTCCCTTTGTTTCTTAATTGCGTTTATAAAATCGTTTAGTTTCCAACCTCGGCACTGTGTCCTGGGGTTGCCCCAGTAGTTGTCCTGACAGTCTGTGCAGGTCTTCCCTCCAAAACCTTCACGGCATTGACACTGGCCAGTAAACTGCAAAACAGAGAACAGAAACACTCCTGCAATGCATCAGTTCTGTAGACTCAAACTGTTTAATATTCACACTTTAAAATCCATCTGAAGAAAAATGTTGTTTGTTTCTTAAGCTTTTGGATATGTAGGAAAACAGCACTAACTCTGGGGTGGGTCACTGGGTTGTATTCCTTATACATTTTATCGTTTTTAAATTATATTGTGAAGAATATATAAAATATATGGTGTATCAGATTTAAAATTCTGTTGTAGTCAGCTTCTTCCACATTTAAGCTTGGATAGATGCACACCCTGTCCTCACTTTTAGACTTACCGTATTTTTCGGACTATAAGGCGCACTTCAAATCCTTTAATTTTCTCAAAATTCAACAGTGAGCCTTATAATCTGGTGTGCCTTATGTATTAATTCTGGTTGTGCTTACTGACCTCGAACCGATTTTATGTGGTACACAGTGCTCAAAAATCTGTCAAAAAGTTTTAGCTTCGCTTAAAGCGCCTTATAGTCTGAAAAATACGGTAATTTAGTTTAGTTTATACTAAATGTGTATTGGACTCTGATTATGTTGAATACTTCCACTGTTCACAAGTGAGTCACAATCAAAAACAGCTTTTTGACAAATTCAAACTATACAACATGCATCCAGTTAATGCTTTACCCTCAGATTTGATCTGTTTTTTACTTAAAAACATTTTCTCGAACAACTGTTATCATTTGAGCTCTACAACACATTTTGTTTTCTAAAGTTATATTTCCTCACCTCCATTCATCGAGCCTCCCCTCAAACTACACTGCCTGGCCAAAAAAAAAAAGTTGCCACCAAAAAAAAAGTTACACACTAATATTTCGTTGGACCGCCTGTAGCTTTGATTACAGCATGCATTCGCTGTTGAATTGTTTTGATAAACTTCTGTAATGTCACAAGATCTATTTCCATCCAGTGTTGCATTATTTTGTCACCAAGATCTTGCATTGATGACTAGACACTAGGCATGATGGGTGCATCACTTCACCTGCCTCTCTTCTTACCCTGATGCTCCCATCTCTCTGGAACAGGGTAAATCTGAACTCATCGGACCACATGACCTTCTTCCATTGCTCCAGAGTCCGATCTTTATGCTCCCTAGCAAATTGAAGCGTTTTTTTTTTTTCCCCAGTTAGCCTCACTGATTAGTGGTTTTCTTAAGGCTACACAGCTGTTCAGTCCCAATTCCTTGAGTTCCCTTCACATTGTGCGAAATGCTTTCACTATTAAACACAGCCCCGAGTGCTACTGTTGTTTTTCTTCGATTTGATTTCACCAAACGTTTAAGTGATCGCCGATCACGATCATTCAGGATTTTTTTTCCGGCCACATTTCTTCCTCGAAGACGATGGGTCCTCACTCTCCTTCCAGTTTTTAATAATGCGTTGGACAGTTCTTAATCCAATTATAGTAGCTTCTGCAATCTCCTTAGATGTTTTCTCTGCTTGATGCCAATGATTTGGCCCTTCTCAAACAGACTGACGTCTTTTCCACGACCACACGATGTGTCTTTCAACGTGGTTGTTTAATAAATGAGAAGCAACTCATTGCACCAGTTGGGGTTAAATAACTTGTTGCCTGCTGAAAAATAATCTGCCACGCAGTAATTATCCAATAGGAGGCTCGTACCTATTTGCTTAGTTAAATCCAGGTGGTGACTTCTTTTTTGGCCAGGCAGTGTACTTCCTCACACTTAGAGGAAAACGTTGGATATTCATTATGCGGGTTAGATGTTTAGGACTATCTGAAGCTACTTCATACACATGCCTGTATTCTCTAAGTGGGGAAAAACTTGGGCTTCTTATTTATTTGTACAATAATAAAATAAAGATAAAGTGGGTTAATTAAAAAAGACTAACTTTAGTGAATGTACCATTTATATAAGGGGTTACACTAAGTAACTAACTTAATTAAGAACAAAGTTGACTGTTAAATATTCAGCATGAGCTTCAGCCATTGTGGCTGTAGCTGGTAAACAGGACTGAACGGACTTTTTCACAGCCGGCCCTCAGCTCACCATCATTTGATGCTGTACTGTGGGCAACACATACCCACCAATGATGCTCGATTTGTATAGTTTATTACTGAAGGTATTTATTCACCCCCCAAAAAGTGGCATATGTCAGATTTTAGCAATAGCGTCCGTTGGTTTACTTTAAACCTTCTTATATTAGCATGTGTTTGGCTAAATGTACACACCATTCCCCTGCTTTTACCATTTAGCTTGTGTCCTAATCATTTCAGCTTGGGTTATGCTTATTTCAGCTCGCTATGCTGATTTTAGCCTCTGTTTTCCGCTTGCATCAGCTAACGACTCAGTTTTAGCTGCAACACATTTCAGCAGTCAGCACATGGCATCCACAGTGCATTTTAGCAAAATGTGAATTTCTCTAATTCGACTTAAATTTTCTAAAAATAAATTTGTTCTTTTAACATGGGCAACTGTGGTTCAGTGGTTAGAGCAGTTGTCCTTAAACAAGAGAGTCGAAGGTTCGATTCCACCAATGTGCAGCCACATGACTAAGTGTCGCTGGGCGACACAGTGATGCCCCATCGGTGTAAAAATACGATCTAAAGCACCAATCAGATGCTTGAAAATGATTTATTTAGATAAACTTTGCAGACGCAGTAGAGTGTTGTAAAAATGTGTGTGTGGATGGGTGTCAAGGGAATTTAGGTTAAAGTTTATGGATGTTTATCACTGCTAATGTTACATTAATGTCTTGAGGTTAAAGTTTAGATTTTACATCCAACTTGTTTGGTTTGTCAATAAAATAAAAATGCATATTTAAAGCAGTTTTGTGGGTTGGTATGATGGCTTTAAATAGATGTTTTCAGCAGAAACCTCCACATTAAGGACTGAAGTGTGGCTCGATGGTTTTTAACATTTTACTGTCACATAAGAAACAGCACATTTTTAGTATTTATTTCAAAGAACCTAAAAGGCAGAGTGTTTGGTTCCATATTTTTCTTACTTCGTTACAGGAGGATGTTACAGAGTTGCTGGGATCACAGTCGCATGCTTCACAGCCCCCTCCGCTGGCCAGGTTCCAGTGGTTGGGGGCGCAGTGGTCGCACATCAGACCGACAACATTTGGCAGACACTGGCACTGGCCTGTGGCTCGCTGGCACACGCAGTCCTCACGCTCTATGCACTGACTGCGCTCAGTACCCAGAAAGTTGCATGTGCACCCTAAAACAAACAAACAAACAAAAAAAAAACATTTTAAATGACGCTCTTCTAAAAGAGTATTCTCTGACTTTATTCACTGAGAAATGTACTAACTCCTGCAGTTGCGTCGGGAAGCATCCCCAAAATATCCACTCTTGCAGATGCCACAGTTGGGACCCTCCGTGTTGTAAAGACATTTCCTGCACTCTCCAGTCTGCCTGTCACAAGCGTCCATGTCTGACATGTCGATGTTGTTGTTGCACTGACAAGGCTGGCAGCGCCCCCCTGGCTGAGAGGGATTTCCAAAATAGCCCGGGGCGCATTCCTCACACCGGGCACCTAAGAGGGAAAAAAAAATTAAAAGATAGCTACAATAATGGCAATTACTGCCAATGGCACAATTGGAAAATGCTCTAAGGGAATTGATTTCAAGGTGTACAAAACAAACGCAAACAGGTTTAACGACGTAATAAAGATCCTTAAGAGTGGATCTAGTCAAGTTAAAATGTTCTGAGGATCAACTTAAATGTTAGTTTAACACTTGAGCAAACCTAGAAGTACAGTAAAGGCATCATCATATCCAGATGGTGTTACTTGCATCAGCTTTGTTACTGATAATCACTCACTGGGGTTTGGTTATAACGCTTTGTTACCACATCCTTCTAAACAATAAACGTACTAAATGAACCATAAAGTTAGCTATCATCTGTCATCCACCTCACACCAACCTGCAAGAGGCTCCTGAAAACCAATATAACCAATTTGAACAACTCCTGGTTTTTGTTTCCAACAGACTTATTTGTATTATGTTCGTTTTCCTGTTGGTTATTATAAGCAGTTTTCAGAATGTGGGCTCAAAAGAGGAAACGCTGTGAATATCTGAGTTGTGGAGGACAGACGCATATTAGAAAAAAGGGGGGAAAGATAAACAGGGAAGGAGATTCAAAGTGAATCTCTAAGTATCCATCCATCCATTATCTTTACCCGCTTATTCCATTTTGGGTCACGGGGGTCGCTGGTGCCCATGTCCAGCAATCACTGTGCGAGGGGCGGGGTACACCCTGGACGGGTCTCCAGTCCATCACAGGACCACATAGAGACAAACGAGACAAACAACCATTCACTCTCTCACTCACACCTAGGGACAATTTAGTTACCAATCAGCCTAACATGCATGTTTTTGGTCTGTGGGAGGAAACCGGAGCACTCGGAGAAAACCCACGCATGCACGGAGAGAACATGCAAACTCCACCCAGAAAGGCCCCTGGACCGAGGTTTGAACCAGGGACCTGCTCGCTGAGAGGCAGCAGCTCTACCAGTTGCGTCACCGTGCTGCCACCAAAGAAGTATGAAAAAGGTTAAGAAATAAAGGGAGATGGTGGGAACTGTATTGAATGCATCCATCCATCCATCCATCCATAGACAAACAAGACAAAGGAATAAACAAACACAAGAGGGAGACACCAACAGGAAAGCCTGTATGAGGGTTGTGTTCCCATTTGTATAAGGCGGCACCTGTACTGATGCAACTGAAAACATCTTTAAGAGCCTACAAAACCATTATACACTTTGGGTAATGGTTTACATCGTAACAAAGAGGGTCGGTACCTAATTTGCTCCTTCGTCAGTGCTACCTGTTTATCTTTGTGTGTGTGTGAGAATATAATCCTTCTTCATATTGACCTCTCTCCACATCATTCAGTCACAGATAAGCAGTTAAATATTCTATAAAACCAAAAGAAGAAGCCGACCCAGACTGTAATTTTATCCATTACAGAATGATTCTGGATCAGATCCTTGTTTTAGGATCGTTTACTCGGACCTGGTTCAAATGTTTTAACCTTGTATAGTTTAGACGTAGTCAAAACTCAAACTGAGCCAAAGACCGAACAGATTCAACAAGTTTTGAACCAGGTCTCATGTGAGGGTGCACCGTGGCACAGCAGCGCTGCTAACACCATGCATGGGGAGGACTGGTGAGGAGGAGTTTAGGCTTGGTGAAATAAAAACATCTTCTAAAATCTGTAGGGAAGGGAGGAGGGCATGGGAGGGGGCCAACCACCATTACTCACGCTTAAAGACGGTCGCCCCGGAGCGTTTAACAATCCCTGTGCCAGTAGTGCATCCATTATCATTCACCAGAGTCCAAAAAGAAACATCATTATTATCATTATTATCTCATTTGACTTGTGGGCTTTGTTTTCACTCATAAGTTAGAATACTAAAGTTTTAGTCACAATAAATATTGTTTAGCTTTGGTGCATATGACATTTACGTACTCGCAAAATGAAGATGACTCAAACGAGTTTTGTAAAAAAAAAGAAAATGTTTACATTAAAACACACAAATAAATGATATTATGACAACAAAATCACACATGGCTTCAATTGAGATAATTTAGGGTAAAATTGTCAACATTCAGCTCATAAGGATTTGGTGCTCAAGTTTTAAATTATTGCAGCTTCTTACAAGAAAACTGCACTGAACAAAAACTGAATTTAACTCATTTAGTTGTTGCTTTAATGTTTTATATCAAGATGCTTTTAAATGACAATCAACAAGTTTATGAAAAAAGTATGGATGGCTATTTAAAATCTTCTTTTATTTATGCGTTTTATTCAGTCCTTCTCTAGTTCATATTGGATCTTGATGAAACACAAAGCCATGCCCAAGTTTCAACAGTTTAGCGGATTGTTCAAGTTGCAAATCACTAAAAACAAAACTTCAGATGTTACCATCACATTTAATTCAAAGGTCTTTGGAAGAAATGACTCAACCTTAATTTCACAGACATACCGTAATTTCCAGGCTATTGAGCACATCCTAATATAAGCTGCACCCACTAAAAAAAAAAAAAATTGTACATACTGTATATAGGCCGCACTGCGAGTGTCCACATTGTAACATGAGATATTTACACAGAAAGATTTTTTAAACTTTTAATTAAATACATACCGAAACATACACCGATACGTACAGTATATATATTTTTTTCTGAACAGTGCCTGTAACACAGCTGGTTAAAAAATAAAAAATACAGTAGCCTACCAGGAAGTCATTGATTGCTATCTTCATCTTCATCTTCCTCCTATTTCCTGAACACTTGCTCTTGACAATGGCGGATGTATTCTCCTCCTCTCCGCTTCGTTTTGCTCTGTCCTGTCTGTGAAACTGCGTTAGAGCCTCTCTTCTACAAATCTTCCGAATCATAACTATGGACTTGGATTTGATCAGTTGGTCCCTCAACTCAATTTACAACATTTCTTTGAAGAGAAGACAGGTTTTAGGCGAGCTGATTTGCCCTGTTGGCACGCACGCAGCTGGATATCTCAAAGACTTGGAAGACTTTATGATGTGTCTATCTCTGCTGTCATTCATGGATTTTAAGGATGCATATATAATTAGATTTATGATAACTGGTTCCTGCTTTTTGGATTCAGCTGGTTCCTGATTTATCTACAATCAATGAAGTCGTTGGCAGCAAATTTGGCCCTGGTCAGGCTGACTGCCTTGTGATGGTTTGGTTCGTGCCTCGAGCACCCAGACTCAATTGCTTTTGGCAGGATGGATCAGATCTCGGGGATTATTCTCAGGCACGGTCCATTGGTGTGGCCATGTAATTTGGACGTTTCAGAACCGAGTGGACCGACACAAACTCAAGGTAGATGTCATACAGATGTCACTGTATGTATTTTATATACTTTATGTATTTTATATTCTTTATGTAATTTATTCCTGTTGATCTTTGTTCTTACTGTAAAGTGTCCTTGGGTGTCATGAAAGGCGCTTTTTAAATAAAATGGTGATTATTATTATTATTATTAAGTTCTGCCTGTCTCCAAAACAATCCTGTTTATCTGAATTTGGCTCCCGGACTGGCCTCGACAGGCCATCTTATCTTAATTCGCCTGGAAGTTTTGTAAACCTGATGCTTTGCCCTTCCCTCCACTCTTACCAAGGAATTCCACAGACTTTTCAGAGGAGCCCATCCAAATAAACGTTCCGTCATCATTTCAGGAATCTTTGGATTCGTCCTTGGCCATCCTCGACCCCCCCCCCCCCCCCCCCCCCCACACACACACACACACTACTTTGTTGTGCCCCCAAGGAGCGGGGAAATGATGAAAACTTTGTTCCCCACTCCCTGGGGGAACAACAGGGAGGGGACAAGAGAATGGGGTTGGGAGGAAACCAAGTCCCCACCCCCCATTTCAATGGCCTCTCCGTTTCATTGGTCTACTTTGACCTGTTTGGTAATTTCTTTGTTCAGATTCTTTTAAACCTTTATTTGTACAGGTAGTCTTATTGAGTCACGAAGACCCAACCCCCAAAAGAGATGTGTATTGGGCAGCTATGTGAGCACCTAGGTGTGACAAGGCTAAATGTTTTGGTAGCATGGAGCTCATTAGCCCATCAAAAAAAAAAAAAAAAAAAAACCTACATAAATTAGCCGCAACATTGTTTAAGCCATGGGGTTCAAAGCTTTTGAAAAGAGTAGCAGCTTATAGTCCAGAAATTACGGTAGTTTTGGTGATTGTGTATAAATAACTGAATCTGACAAATGAATATATATGACGTACAGTTGCAGGAATTTGTCTGGTCTGAAGCAGGGATTTGTTTCTTGACACTCTTTAGCAAATTGTCAATTGTTTGAAGCAAATTGTTGCTTCAAAGGCTCAATCCTGGTGGGTGCTCCAGAATCTTCAGTGGCAAACTTGTGTTTATGGAGTTGTAGGTTTTCACTTGAACCAGTTCCACTGCCAAGGCTGACTGTTCTGCTGTCGGACCTCAGCTATACAATAAGGCTGAAACTTAAAAAAAAAAAAAAGCTTGATCTTTCAAAACAACTATTTTAACTCTACATCCACCGATTCACAGATCTGCACCAGATCTTTGGACCTCCCCACAGAACAATTTCTCTGTCATTACAATGAGACAATCTACCAACTGATGAATATAATACTTGTTGACAGGAAGTCAGACCGTGGCATGTTAAGAACTTTTGGAATTCTCCTAATTACTGAAATGACCTTAATAATAATAGAGTGCTGGTTAAAAATTACTATACATTAAATAAATACATGTGCACCAACATATATTTATTTTTTTTAGTAATGCATGTTGAAAGTTAGAACAGAACACAAGGACTGTCGAACTGGAAGCAAGGTAATACTGCAGAGGCAGAGCAGGAGTGATCGTCTCAGGTTTACCTGTGTAACCTTGGTTACAGTTGCAGATAATTTGTCGGTTGCGGTTGTCTTGGTAGCAAGATGTGGCAAAGTGACGTCCACTGGTGGGTCCATCTGGACAGGGGCATGGACGACACTGACTGCCTGATGTCATGCCCAAAACTGGGTTACCGTAGTAACCATTGGCACACCTACAAGAAGTGACAAAAGAAGTTAATCCCTCTTAATCGCTCAACACAATTGACTCAATGAAACTTCCTGATCTCACAGCTAGAGACAAAAAGACAACATCACATCAAGCTATGGTGTCTGGTTGTTCCTAGATGAAAGCAATGAGCAGAGTTACGGTTTGATGTACGTAAAGCTGTGCTGCAACATCACCTGTCACACTTGTCTCCTCCGGTGTTGTCCCTGCAGTTGATGCAGACTCCAGTTCTCTGGTCGCAGTGATCTGCGTGCCCGTTACACTGGCAGGGTCGGCAACTGGGAAAGCCCCAGTAACTCGTCTGACACCCGTCGCATCGCTGACCAAACGCGCCCGGGCGGCACTGGCACAGGCCGGTAAACTTGTCACAAAGTCGTGTCACAGACCCTTCTAAGCTGCAGTCACAGGCTGGAAAAATTAAGGAAAATAAAGTGTGTATAAGGGATGAGAGTATTAGAGAGTAAGGAATGTTAAAGTAAAAAGAGGTATATGAGTTTTAATCAGATTTGGAAATGTTCATTAAAAACCAGTAGAGGGCACCAGCTTCATGTTATGTAAGTAAATCATTAAATATCCTATGCATAAATCAGAATTTATACTAATGATGTAAAAAAGCATGAAGACGTGTCAGTTTTGTCTCTAAACCTAAAATTTTGCACATTTCCTCACATATGCAGCCTGAGGGTCCAAAGCCATAAGTTCCCGGTGAACACTGGTCACAGCGTCGACCGATCACGTTGGACCTGCAGCGGCACTGACCTCCACGGACGTCACAGATGGAGCTGATGGACCCCTGAGGGTCGCAGTTACAAGCTGGGGGGATAATAACAAATGCATCAAATCACTAAAAACAAAGAAGCTAATTGAAGCTCACAGCTTAACAGAAGTATAAAATAACTTGTGTAGGTGTATAACTACCACTTATTAAACTTAAATTACCTTCCTGAATTTAAAACATTCACTATTTGAGAGCACTTATAGTGATGTCAAGTTTGTAACCATCCCAGTTATAAACTGAGGAAAAAATTCTCTTTTTTCTTCTCCTCACTTATTCTGCCCTAAAGTTATGACTTTTGGCTGAGGCTATGTATGATGTGCAGTCAAAAACATTTTGGATTCATTTAAAAAATAGCTTAAAATAAACTACTGATTAAAGTATTTAACGGCAGCAAAGACCAGAGCCGCTGCACTTCTTCTTGTTACCAAAACTGATCACATTAAAATAATCTAAAATGAATCAGGTACAGAGTTTAGAGTTTTGTAGAGAAACGAGTAAGCCATTTACTAAATTTATATATTTTTTTTAATTTACTGGCTATAGAAATGTAATTTAATGATGCTTTATCTTTCTGTAACTATTTAATCCAGATTAAATGTAAATAGTAATAAAACCCATTTTGTTGGTTTTGTTAGTAACTCTTCTAAACTTCATAGCACAGGTACAAACATTTTAATGAACCGTATTCACTCACACAGAGCTCCGTCGTTTATAACAGCCGACATGCTGCTGATCAGCTTGGCACAGGTGTCGCTCATTTGCGGGCGGATCACACTCTTTGCCCCCTCGTGGCACCGGTACCGGTCATATGTCTGCTTCCTGACGTTTGAGGCGGTATCGCCTGCGTTGAACATCTCCATGGAGGAGTGACGCGGCATCAATGCGATCTTGAGACGTTCAGTAAAATGAAACATTAGGACGATATCAGCGCGTGAAATAAATACAAGAGTTTATTCAAAAGTTAAACACTTTAAATCAAAACTGATCTCACAGAGTCGACGAGGATGACGGCGAAGGCTCCTCCGTTGAGGATACTGTTGGCATCTTGATAGCGTGTGAACTCCAAGCGAAGCGTGTAAGTCACTCCTCTTTCCAAACACGCAGGCTGAGGAGGCACCACGAACCTGGGGAAGATGAAGACAGCTCTCAGGTGGATAATCACAGGTGTGTTAAATGTGTATATGAACGAGTGTGAGCGATGGTTTGTCCGTGTGAGTCACAGACCTGGCTCCAGCTGGTAGAGAAACGATGAACGCGTCATCATCTGGGATGGTGTTTCCACAGGGGCTGCTGGTAGGAATCGGGCCTGGACGGATCACTGTGATTCGCACTTGCTCCCAGTCTCGGGGCATCTATTGACATGACAGCAGGGAAGATACAAACATCTTAAATTGTTTCCAGATTGCCTTATTAGGTTAGGTAATGCAAGCAAAGGGCTGCATATTGAACTGGGGTAAATAAATCCTGTAAGATTAACAATTTGAACAAACTTACAACTGATTATTCCCATTTCTTTAGCATAGTTTGCATTATAAGTCAAAAATATCTCTCTAAAAACAAATGACACTCAGATGGATTATCAGATACATTTTTTTGAAACTGGAACTGGAACTTGTGCCAGCAGCACGGTTTCGCAGTTGGTAGAGCTGCAGTCTCTGAACAAGAAAGTCACAGATTTAAATCCTGTCCAGGGGCCTTTCTGGGTGGAGTTTGCATGTTCTCTCCGTGCATGGTGGGTTTTCTCCGGGTACTCCAGTTTCCTCCCACAGACCAAAAACATGCATGTTAGGCTAACTGGTAACTCTAAATTGTCTCTAGGTGTGAGTGAGAGAGTGAATGGTTGTCTTGTTTGTCTCTATGTGTCCCTGTGATGGACTGGAGACCTGTCCAGGGTGTCCCCTGTCTCTCGCACAGTGCTGGGTGGACATGGGCATCAGTGATCTGGAAAGGAAGAAGCAGGTAAAGATGATGGATGGATGGATGGATGGATGGAATTTTTGATAAAATATTTATGTCAGCTTAAATAATTTGCGATGTCCTGAATGACAGGAAAACGACCCCAGTAAAAGTATAATAACTCAAAGTGTTGCAAGAAAAAGAACAGTGGCGCACTACAACGAGAGATTTTTGTAATATTATGATAAAAACAGACAATTTAGGTCTTAAATATTACATCCATAAAAATGTTTATTAATAAGCTTTAAAAATCCTGTTTGTCAGGACTCCATCCATCCATCATCTTTACCCACTTCTTCCTTTTCGGGTCGCGGGGGTCACTGGTGCCCATGTCCAGCATCACTGTTTTTCATTCATTCACTCAACCTTTATTTATACAGGTTAGTTCCCATTGAGCCTCGAGGACTCATTTACAAGAGATACCTGTTACATACAAACATACAAAGTAGATGTGCAAGAGGCAAGGGGACACCCTGGACAGGTCTCCAGTCCATCATAGGGACACAGAGACAAATAACCATTCAATCTCTCTCTCACCTAGGGACAATTTAGATCTATCAGTCTAACATGCAGGTTTTTGGTCTGTGGGAGGAAACCGGAGCACCCGAAGAAAACCCACGCCTGCACGGAGAGAACATGCAAACTCCACCCAGAAAGGCCCCTGGCCGGGATTTGAACCAGCAACCTTCTTGCTGAGAGGCAACAGCTGTACCAATTGCGCCACCGTGCTGCCTAGCCACGATTCAGTTTAAACTTGTTATTGATATCTGAAGATTCTATAAAAAAAATAAAAGCTTATAATTTACTATCAGTAAATCTGCACACCTGAGATTCGTAGCGGATGAGCAAATCATATTCCGTGGAGTAAGGTATGTTATTAATAACGAACTCCAGAGTGCCACCTTCAGGGACTCGTGCGAACCCTAAATCTGTCCATGAGGCAGGACGACCCGGCTGGTGTTCCCTGGTCTCCAAGGTGCAGCCCTAAGGATACACACACACACGCAGAAAGAAAAAGTCAAACTCATATTTATAAATAAACGCTACATGTAAATAACGAAGCCTCACCTGCTCCATTTTAGCAAACTCAGCCTCGTAAAGGAAGTGATCCAACGCCATAAAGAAATATCCAGACTCCACCTGCGAGCACTGGCGTCCTGTCATGTGACTGCGACAGCGGCACTGTCCGATCTCCATGGAGCAACTACGAAAACAGCATGCACTTTATTCCACTGCAGCATTATTAGATGCACTCTCTCACACAAAATCTGCAGCCTGCGACGAGCAGTTTGTAATCGGTGAGTGTTGAAATTCAGAGAATGCGCTGATCATGTTTGACACGAAGCCACGGCTTGAAATAATGTTACCTGTGACATCAAATACTGCATATAAAGCTACAAAATTATCCTTTAGAGTTTGATCAAAAGTTAGGATGATTTCCTTTCATAGATAAACATATTTTAAGTAATAGTCAATATGGGTTTAGAGCAAATAATTCAACATCAGTGGCTCTCATGGAACTAATAACTGCTGATTGAAAGCAGTATTGTGTTAGTGTTTTTGTTGATTTAAAAAAGGCCTTGGACACTATTGACCACACCACTCCCCTTGAAAAACTGAATAAATATGGCATTAGAAGATTAGCACTACAGTGGGTATACAGTCGTTTGAATAAAAGGAGGCAGTTTGTACAGGTAAGATCAGAATTTTGTGTTAATGGATGTGGAGTTCCTCAGGGCTCTATGTTGGGACTAAAGTTGTTTACTTAGTATGTGAACGATCTGGTTGATGTGTCAGGGCTTTAGAAGTTTGTTTTATTTGCACATGATGCCACATTTTTTTGTTCGGGTGAAAATATTGAACGGATGTTTGAGATGATACAGGCAGGATTTGTAAAAAATACAAACTTGGTTCCAACTTAATAAGTTATCATTAAATTTGGAAAAAACAAACTACATGATATTTAATAATAGAAATAAAGTAAGTCCCATTTAAAATTGGCAATATTGAAATTCATAGAGTTAATGAAATAACATTTTGGGGTGTTGTTATTGATGAGAAGCTGACGTGGAAATCTCATGTAAATTACTTAAGACTAAAAATAGCTAAATCAGTTGCATTACTCTATAATGTAAAAGAGTTTTTGAATGACTAAGCTTTGTATATATTGTATAATGTAATGATTGTTCCATATTTAATCTATTGTATTGAAGTTTGGGGAAAATCATGCAAAACAATAACAAATTCTATTTTCATATTAGAAAAAAGCGCTATAAGAATTATTAGCAGGAAGTGCTCTGGTCACCCAACAAATATATTATTTTATCAGTTGAAATTATTAAAATTTTATGATTTGGTTGAATATAGTATTTTACAAGTCATGTATAAAGCTCATAAAAAATATTACCCCAAAATATTCAAGTAAAATTTGTTTAAAAGAGAGTCATTATAACATTAAGGGAATTGAAATGTTTGTAAAACCTCCATTTAGAACTAATCTGAAGGAGCGCTGTGCTGTAATTCAGGGATTAGGATTGTGGAATTGCCTTGATATTGCCATAAAAATTTTCTAAAACAATTTATATGTTTAAAAAGGTGATTAATTAAGGTAAAGTTGTTGGGAAGATATGGTGCCAGGTGAAGGATGCCTGATGTTTTTGTTTTCAATTTGCAGATTGTTCAAGCATAGGTTGCTGTTTGTTTATAGTTATTTTATATTTTTTTAAATAAGGGGCAGATATTATAATAATTTTTTCTTCTTTCTGCACCTTTTCCATTCATTTTTTTTTCTTTTTGATGAATTTGTTTTGTTTATATTGTTTATTTTAACTGAATGAATAAAAAAAATAAAAAAATTCCTGATTGAATTATTGTAAATAATAATTGTGAACTGAGAAACGTCTTTTCTATTAAAATGATCAGATGTCCCAAATTTCGATTCTGCATTGAAGCATTAAGTCACCAAGTTCTGTCAAAAGAAGCTTTTACAGATGGGCAGAAAGTAAAGAAAACCGAACTGAATACACAACGTGAAATTAAAATACCACTTTTAAATCTACCGGTAGTTCCTTTGTGGAGGATTTTGGTTGTTCTGTTCTGAACTGCAAAGATCAAATAGTTTTAAACTTTTGCCTCTGAATAGCCGTGCCGTTATAGCTACTGTGGCTCAGTGGTGGTCATTGCGTTGGAAGACGGCCAAATGTCAAAGTGCTTGGAGAGAGACTGAATGTCACGTTGGCCTGTAATTCTAACTTGTGTGCAACAGTAAAGACAACATTGCTGCTTCCAGGAAAACTCACAAAATGAGCGTGCATGAGAGTTTTAAGGAGAAACGCATTCAAAATCACTTTTTTAAATGATAGGGTTAACCGTTCAGGTCATTAACTTTGTTTTGAGAGTTGTATGTTGGGAAAAAAATGTTTCTGTGAGAGACCTGCACGCTGTACGAACAAAAGTGACTCGTGAGGCTACAGCGCCACTCACTGGTTGTCGAGCGCTCCGCCGACGTCGCACTCGCAGCCTCTGCAGCCGCTCAGGTCGTGGCTGAGCCCCCAGTGTTCTGGCTGTAATCACAAGATGACAGGCAGACAGTGAGGGCCAGCAGCTGAATCATTTCATGTCATCACGGACGAGAGGAACGTCAACTGGAGTTCACCTAAAATTACCGAGTGAGTCACGCATACCAGAACATTGAGCTAATAAAACGTTATTTTTGGGCTATAGGGACTTCATTTCTATCTGAGTCCTTCTGCATCATTAGACTGACTGATGTCTTGTGGCTTTAAGTCAATTAAACAAGAGCATAATGACAAAATAAACAATGTTTCTGTTGTGTGAATGTTTATGAAGCATTCTCACTATTGTGATCCGTTATTCTTCTGTACATTTTTCAGCATCTTTCTTGTTCCACAGTTTTTGTGCCCTTTCAACGAATCAAAACGTTCGGCTCTTTCAGAACAATTCTGCTATGACGTTTGGTATTGGTGCAACTTTAGCTTTTGGAAATATTTAGCCTTTTCTGCCACAAATGAACCGAGCTCATTTTACATCCTTCAAATTTTTAGATGCGTTTACAACCTTTTACTGCTCCTTTCACATTTTGTTCTGCTTCAGCTACTTTCAGCTTTCTTGTGCAAATTTAAAAAAAAAAAAATCTGCTACTATCACATAATTTCAGCTGTTTTGTGGTCCTTTCAGATTCTTTCTGCTAACTACAACATTTTTGTGCTTCTAACTTCTTTCTGCTAATTTCAGCTTATTTCTGCTAGTTACAGGTTTTTCTGCTATTTTAGCTACTATTTAGCTGTTTTATGCTAATTTTACCTTTTTCAGCTATTTCCACCTTTTTTTTTTTTAGCTCATTGCAGCTCTTTCTTCTGGTATTTTAAGCTTCTTTCTGCCTTTTCAGATATTTATTTCCTAATTTCAGCTTTTTTTAACCAATTTCATAATATTTGTGCTTATGTCTGCTTATTTAATCCTAATTCAGAAAGTATGAGTTCTTTCTGCTTTCGTCGGCTACTTTAGGCTTGTTTGTCCATTTCAGCTACATTTCAGAATGGTTTTAGCTAATTTCAGCCGTTTTTCCAGCCAGTTCTTTTGCAATAAGCATTCACAATGTATTTTTGCAGGAAATTCAATTTATCTGGTTTATTTTCCATTTGTTAATGCCGTTTTTGATATCTTGCAACAATTACAAAAAATATACTCCATCCATCCGTCCATCATCTATACCTGCTTCTTCGCTAATCTTTAAATTTGAAGGACTTCTGGAGAGCACCTGAAGAGGCTGCCACTTGGTGTTTTAAGACCCAACGGGGCCTGATCCCAACTTTAAGCTCCACTACTTTATAATAATTCATAAGTTTGAATTTATTTATTGTGTCCATTTAGACATGGCAGGTTTTTATTGTGACATACTTCCTTCAAATACAGATAACCTAAAGTGTAAGAAAGTTAGCATTATATTATTTATTTATTTTTACATTGTAGAATTATTCTTTATTAACTGGATTCATTTTTGGATAATGTCCAGATCTGACCATGTTAGGAGTGCTGTAACCCCACCAGCTGGACAAGCCTCAAACCCCTGAGCTAAATTTAGAGCCAAGACCCACACAGGAGCTCACATTCCTGTTCATACTATTCCTGGCTGAGCAGGTTTGGGACAACAGGTTGAATTATACCAGGAAGCTCGTCACCACCTAACAGCCTGAGCAGATGTTCCATTTTTTAATTCAAGCTACAGCTTTGGTTTTAAGTGACTGAAGAAAAGTTTCTGGTTTTACAAGTTTTTTTTTTTATTAACGATCACACTTCCATCCAAGCGCTTAACCCGGTATTTCAGGGGCTGTGACTGCTGGCGACAAGTCGGGGAACATTTATTCTCCAAGGTGTCTCAAAACGTTTGCAGAGGTTCTCCATTTCCTTGACGTGAGTCGCAGAAGCTCACAACAAATCTTCAAAACCTTTGTGACAAATCTCAAAATAGTGGCAGAGTTGTCACCGGAGTCTCGAGCTCATCTCAAACATGCCTCAATTTAGATTCTGTAAATTCTAGACAAAGAAGTGTTTTGACATCTGCCAAGCAACTCTCCTTATAAATGATAATTATACCAAAACTTGTCCATTTTAAAGGTGTACATCTGCAGATAGTAGTCAATAATGTGCCAAAGCAGGTACAAAACTGAGGCAATTACAATGTGGGCAACAAAATTATGTGCAGTCGTTCTCTGCTCTGTTCTATGCCACGTGCCAGCGCTCTTGGCCACGCCCACTTCTCCGCTGCAGAGCAGAGATATGACCTCACGTGCTAAATAATTTAAAATAATTTATTTTAAATAAAAATTCCATGCGGATCCTGCGACTCATCCATCAGTCAGCCACTTGTGTGTCATGTCCAACCTTGTTTTGAAAAACCGCGATAGAGCGAATTTGCGAAAAACGAACCGCAAAGTAGCGAGGGACTACTGTGCACGGCCCAGATTACAATTCTGCACGCTGTGCACACAAAAAGAGGCTGAGGTTTTCCTAAAGAATCATGCGAAACACAGCTGCACTGTCAACTGTTCCCTTGGTTGCAAACACTCAAAATTGGTTCATTCATTGTTATGGACTGCTTTTATTTTAATAAAGTAGATTTGTTTAAATTGACTGAAAGAAGAAGCTGACTTCAGCAAAATTCTTAAAAAGGTAAAACATAAAAGTTGTTCCCTGTAATGGACTTGCGGCCTGTTCAGGGTGTACCCCGCCTTTCGCACAGTGACTGATGGACATGGGCACCAGTGACTCGAAAAGGAAGAAGCAGGTAAAGATGATGGATGGATGATTTTTTTTTTTATATCACATCAAGTGGTTTTGTTTTAGGACACTACAGAAACCCTGTGAAGACTGCAGAGAACCTGAGCAATGGAAAATAAAATATACACTTTTGACGTTCCAACTTCTATAAAGGCGAGATCCAAAACATTTATTGTGGCTTCTTACCAGACACTGGTCACAGCTGCGTCCCGTGACGAGACGCTTGCAGTTGCAGTCCCCACTGAACGGGTCACACATAGAACTACCTGACACGGTTCCTCTGTGGTCACACTGACAAGCTGGAGGTTTGACATTACGCACATTTGATAGTTTTGTTAAAAAGACACCACATTCATTAAGAACGAGAGGATTGTTGCACTGATAGATGATTGCTGGAACTAAGAAGAGGCTAAGATGATCCAAAATCCATGTCGGCACTTACGCTGACAGCCCTGAGGGTTTTCCGCACTCAGGCCAAAGAAGCCAGACTTGCACTTGTCGCAGCGCGGGCCCTCAACGTTAGCCTTGCAGCGGCACTGGCCTCCCACCATGCTGAGGGACGGGTCACTGTGACTGTCGCACATCCCTCCATTCTGCGAACCATCCGGGTCGCAGTCACAAGCTGTGGAGCAAACGTACAGTAGGTGAGTTATGATGAAGATCTGACAAGGATGACTCTATAGGGCTACGGTAATTATGTCTGTGGAAAAAAAATGAAGAAAACTATTTAACTCCTTGAACCAAATAAATACAAAAATCATTATTTTGAATAGGGATGCACGATATCATCGGCATGGTATTGGAGGATATTAGCGATAAAGTTAAATATCGGACATCGGCCGTTCCATCAAAATAACTCACCGATATGAAAGGCGCTGTTTTTGTATGACAACCCAGAGACGAGGATGCCTGCAGCGCCAGCACATGATGACATCACGCTTGCCGTTGAGTTTAGAGTTGTGAAAATTTACAAATTTGCACCGTTCGAGTGTTATTGTGTTGGAGAGAGTAAATGTCATGAATAAATTTAACATTAAACATAATCCAAGTTGAAGTGTTGCATCATTTTCAGCCCCCTTTTTGGCATCTTCATTTGGTAGCAGGCCAAACTGACAAAGGCCATGCAGAATAATGTAGTATTTTAATTCCACAGCAGAGAAAGCTATGAAGTCTCTGTAAGTAGGTCTAGGGGAAAATTATCGGTACTGGTATCAGTTATCGGCCAAATAAGTTTTAACATATCGGCATATCGGATATCGGCCAAAAATCCAATATCGTGCATCCCTAATTTTTCAATTCAAAAATACTTTATTAATCCCAGAGGGAAATTAAATGTTGTTGTAGCTCATTTTCCTTGTTTCATAAAAGAGTTGTTCTAGATGTTGATGGTTGTGGGCGGGAAGGATCTCTTGTGATGGTCCGTCTTGATTGATGTTGAAGTTGATGTTTTTCTTGGTTATATCTTAGATGTTATTACTGTTTTTCTTATACATTTTATTGTCGGATGTAACTGGGACCCTGTGTACATAATTTCGCTCCACCACATGTACCACATGAGGTGCGAATGACAATAAAGAAACTCTGACTCTCTGACTCTGACTTATAGCAGATCTGAAAAAAACTGGCCACAGATGTTGATCCGTTTACTTGCACTTGGTTGGCCTCCTGGGCTTCAGGATCACCTGAATGTTGGGCAGAAATCCTCCCAGGGCAATGGCCACTCCTCCCAGCAGCTTGTTGAGCTCCTCATCGCTGCGGACAGCCAACTGTAGGTGCTGATGGACGATCCTGTCCTTCCGCTGTCATGAGCTGTGTTTCCTGCTAGTTCCAGGATCTCAGTGGTCAGGCACTCGAGCACAACTGGCAGGTAGATGAAAATGCATCCACAGAACATCCTTTTCAACTCATTTGAAATTTAGGGCTGTAGTTGAGATATTACTTGAGCTTTTGAAATGTTAATCAGCTGCTGTTGGTTGTAGAAACTGCCTTGTTGCCATGGTTACGCATCATAACAAATGTCCAAAACTAAAAAAGTTTCCGTAAAAATCCTTCCAGCTGCACAGCATCCGATACCAGAGGAAACAATCATCCAAAAAATGTGATTTACATCCAGAAAAAGAGGAATTAAAGTTTCCAAAAGCAAAATCTCAGAATGAAAGTAACAGAGCTGCTCCAACATGCAGCCACCATGAGCGGCGCAATTCTAGAACCATGAACCATTTAGCCATACAGATGTAAGGTCCACTGTTTCTCAGTAACATTTCAGGCCAGAAAGACACAAACTAGCAAACAGAAATCATCTAACAGCTCCTTATACGTCTCCATTTAGCCAAGCTAACAAATAAACAACTTACATCTGAGACCCAGTTAAAGAACGAACAGATTTTTGTCTTTGACAAAGACTAGCAGTAAGAACTAATGAGTAAGACTCAGTCATCTTGTCCCTTCTCAGCAGTGATGACCCTGAACCTGTGGTCGGGGACTTCACTGAATGGTGCGAGTCTTAAATGTTTCTAAGACAAAGGAGATGGTCGTTGATTTTAGAGAAGACTCTTCAGTTTCAGCTCCTGTGGTCATTAACAGTGAAGCTGTCGAGGTGGTGCATCAATATAAGTATCTGGGAACTGTTCTTGATGACAAACTGACCTTTGACCCCCATGTGAACTCACTTTGTAATAGGCCCACCAGATTATTATTTTTATCAGAAGATCTGTGGCTTTAATGTTGAGTTTACTTTTATGAGAATGTTTTACTGAACCTCTTAACTAACTTTCATCTGTTGGTTTGGATTGTTAACATGCAAAAACAGGATCAAACTCTTGGGGATTGTCAGGATGTGCAGCAAAACTGGCATAGCCCTACAGAACCTCACTGACCTACACAAGGCGAGGTCAGTGAACAACGCTAGGTTGATTCTGGCAGATCCTGATCACCCACTCCACGGTGAGTTCAGGTTGCTTCCATCTGGACGCAGGTATCTGCAGCCCAGATGTAGAACAAATAGACTGAAAAGCTCATTCATCCCTGTAGAGATCAGGCTTCTCAACGAACACTGATGATCTCTGTGCGGTTATCTTAATGTCTCAATGTCTTGTCTAGTCTGGAGGTTTTATGCGCCTACTGACTGTGAAACAAATTGCACCTTGGGATAATAAAGATTCTTGAACTTGAACTAAATACTGCATTTTAGATATTGTTTTTATGCCAAGTTGGCTGTCCTGTATCAACAAAAATCTGGTTCATCACTTTAGTTTAGTAGCCTTTTTTGTGTCTGAATAATTCTTAGGTCATAGTAAAAACAACAACAACAAAAAATTAACTAAAGATGAAGTACTGGACTGAAAAGAGGTGGAAAAGCAGCCAAAGTCCAAATAAAAACAAAATATATTGATCAAGATCACTTTAAAAGATTACAAAAAGTCTGGCTCTTTGATGGCATGGTGGCGCAGTTGGTCGAGCTGCTGCTGCTCAGCAAGAAGGTTGCAGGTTCAAATCCCGGCCTGGGACCTTTCTGGGTAGAGTTGGCATGTTCTCTCCGTGCATGCATGGATTTTCTCCTGGTGCTCCGGTTTCCTCCCACAGACCAAAAACATGCATGTTAGGCTGATTGGTAACTCTAAACTGTCCCTAGGTGTGATTAAGGGAATGAATGGTTGTCTCGTTTGTCTCTACGTGTCCCTGTGATGGATTCGAGACCTGTTCAGGTTGTCCCCCTGGACATGGACACCAGTGACCCAAACAGGAAGAAGTGGGTAAAGATAATGGATGGATGGATGATGACTTGATACTTCTGTCCAGTACTATCATATTATCAGGAAAAATGTTTCAGAAAAATGGAAAACTCTTCAACCTTGACTTTTTCTTTAGTTTTGGATGTTCCTTCTGGTTGCAGTCTAACAACCAACATTCATATATCACTTTAAATAACCAGTCTTTTATACAATTCATAATCTTGATTACCGGTAGGTTACCGAGTTATCATCCTCACACTCACCTATGCAAACTCGTGGATCTTTTATATCTCTGCTGGGGTCTTTGTAGTAAAACGGTTTACACGTCTCACAGTTGCGTCCCATTGTGTTGTGCTGACAGTCCTCGCACACGCCACCGCTGAGGTTTCCCGTGGACAAATAGACCGCCATGTCAAAGTGGCAGTGGTTTGAGTGGCCGTTGCAATTACACCCTATAGAAAATACAGTTTTATATCATAAAAGTTTTTGCAATTCCTAAACAGATATCAAAGTGTGATATATTTTTAGCAGACAGTTTTTTTTTTTTTAACCAGAGCTTTAAAACAATAAAGCTTTATTGATAAAGTGACTGGACTCACTCTTGCAAGCGTTTGAGTTGCGCCCTTCGGCTGGCCTCCAGGGCTGGTCATTGTAAAAATCATCACACTGCTCACAGTTTAAACCTTTAGTGTGATGGTTACAAACACACCTGCCGTGCACCTTTGAAGAAACGAGCGGGGAAACGCGGGAAATTACTTTAACTGGTCTGGAATCAAACAGCTCGTCGTGTGCGGTTTTTAAATCCGCACCACTCACCATTCCCTCTATGTCATCCTTGATGCCCTCGATGGGGGCACACTCTGAGGCGTGGCCGTAGCAAAAGCAGTTTCCACGTACAATGAGTTCATAGATGGCGTAGTAATACTTCTCTTTGATTTCAGCTCTGGGGTCCAGCAGGTTGTCTCCCAGCGTGTGAAGTTTGGTGAAGTTGACTCTCAAGTTGGTGATCTTCAGCTGGTCTGATGGAAACATGACAGGAAGTAGAAGAAAGCAGAAGGAAATTACAACTGCATGAAATCCACCACTAGTGCAACGTAAGCTGATTGGAAACTAATAAAGGTGTTTACAAAAATTAAAATTAAAAAGTGGTGGCACAGAGGTCAGAGATGGCAGGCCTGTGATCGGAAGGTCGCGTGTTCAAATCCCCAAACTGACAACAACCACCCTTTTGCCTCGCTCTGGCCCCTTAAGCAAAGCCATGAACCCCCCATCTGCTCCCCCGGGCGCCCTAGATGGCTGCTCCACTCAGAGGGTAGTTGTTGATCTAGGGTTGTGTCAGGAAGAGCATCTGGCGTTAAAAAAACAAACAAACAAACAAAAAACAATCGGCAAGTCTTTGTGTTCAATGTGATGAGCGCTGTTGAAGTGAGCAGAAAAAAACATCAATTTGAAAAGGGTTAGATAATTAGAGAAAGATTATTTATTTTTGAAGAAATTTGTCTGTCTTTACACAATAATTAATCATTGTCCAGGGAACGTCTCCTGGTACAATCCAGTTAATAAAGAGCAGCAGTAGGTGCACACATGTATTAACTAATGTCAGGACATCCTTGCAAAAGAGATTAATAACCTCATTGGATTTCTTTCCTGGTAAAATAAAAGGTTTAAATTTAAAAAAAAGTGCATGTAAGCACACTTTGCACACATTTTCATTTCACATTTTTAAAAATATGTAGTTTATGAAGTTATTTTTTCCCCTTCTCCCACACCAATTAAGAAGTTTACGCTTTTTAAAATACCTTTATTTAAACTTCTACTGAAGTTGTAAAGAAGTACTATTAAAACATGATTTAAGAAATGCTTTAGGGCAGGATTTATTTTCATCCCAATCTGGATTTTGAACTTATCTGCATGAAAAAAAAAAAATCTCACTTCGACAGATGAGAACTACCGGTAATCCCTACAGCCTCTCAGCATAACATTAAAACTCAGTTGTTATGGTAGACTGGAGAACAGCCATTTGTGTCAGTGAGAAACAAACGCAGCAGCTTTCAACAAGCCCGAGGCTGAAACTGAAACTGATGCACAGTAGCTTCTTTCGTGGACGCTGACACTCTTAACGAACAGGCGTTAACATCCATGCTTCCACCAGCTTCATGTAGCAAATATAGCTCGGTGCTTCTGTGTTATTTGACACTTTGTGTGTGAAAAAGAACAAAGAAGAGTGAAAGGAAAATCTTAAGCTGTTAAGATACTCCCAACAAGTGTTTTATGTTCTTGTACGTAGAGAAAAACAAGACAAAGAGGAGCTATGTGGATGCAGTTAGAGAGGACATGGAGGTAGAGGACAGAGTGAGATGGACGAGGATGACTCGCTGTGGAGACTCCTGAAGAAGGAAAAACCAAAATAAGTTATTTTACATAGAAACTTTGATAAAACCCTAATCCAATCCAATCACACTGATCCAAAGTGCTGCACACAGCAGACAAATTAAAACACAAAAGGAAATCAAAGAATAACACAGCAGACGCGCGATCCCACTGATGTTGCACTTTGTTTTGGGGACGCTCAGAAGCGGATGGTCAGCTGATCTGAGAGAGCGAGTGGGGGTGGAAGGTGTAGCAATTCTGAAAGTTAGGGCGGGGCATAGGGTGGGGCGAGGCCATTCAAAGATTTAAAAGCAAATAAAAGAATTTCAAAATGCTCCTAAAATGTGCAGGCAGCCAGGGCAAATGTGCTCGTGTTAATGGGCCAGTTAAAAGTTGTGCAGCAGCATTTGGACCCTCCACAGCCGGGCAATGGAGGACCCACTAACCCCCCCCCCCCCCAGACAAAGTGTGTTGCAGTAAAACTGGGTGGTGACAAAGGTGTGGACTACTGCCTCAAAGAGCCTTCTTGGAAGAATGGATTTTACGTTGGCCAGCTGCCTCAAATGATAAAAACTCATATTCACAACTGCCCTGTTTGTTTGTGACTGTCACAAACAAATACGATTCTTTCAATTTGTTTGCTCTGAAACTTGAAGAAGATATTTAAGAAAAAAAATCAGTTTTACCTCATCTGAGATCACACGATGCTGACTGTAATCTATTACTTGACAGAGCTTCTTCAGTCCATTCAGAAACTTTTGAAACATCATCTTCTTTTCATTATATTACAAATTTTATATAAAATGTTATCTCACTTATGACCACAACACACTTTTGTAGTTGTGTGTCACTGCTTTGCCATCCTGCCATCGTTGTTCAGTTCCCGGCCCCCTTCCATCTTTGGGCTCAGGCTCTGGCCTGTCATGGCAGCCATCTCCATGATCCTCCATTGGTCTGCACGGACCGAACTCTACGGAACAGTCGGGTTCCGCGGGGACACCTTGGAAGTTCTCTGTCTGCTGGACCCAGTTCTGGAGGGCAGTCATTGTGTGTTGCCACGGTCGTTATTATCATCATGCTGCTAACAGGACCGCATTGCTAACATAACAGTACCATGGTGCTAACAGGACCGCATTGCTAACAGTAACAGTACCATGGTGCTAACAGGACTGCACTGCTAACAGTAACAGTACCATGGTGCTAACAGGACTGCACTGCTAACAGTAACAGTACCATGGTGCTAACAGGACTGTGCTGGTAACAGTACCATGGTGCTAAAAGGACTGCACTGCTAACAGTAACAGTACCATGGTGCTAACAGGACCGCGCTGGTAACAGTAACAGTACCATGGAGCTAACAAGACTGCGCTGCTAACAGTAACAGTACCATGGTGCTAAAAGGACTGCAATGCTAACAGTAACAGTACCATGGTGCTAAAAGGACTGCACTGCTAACAGTAACAGTACCATGGTGCTAACAGGACCGCACTGGTAACAGTAACAGTACCATGGTGCTAACAGGACCGCGCTGGTAACAGTAACAGTACCATGGTGCTAACAAGACTGCGCTGCTAACAG